ACAAGATCTCGATGAGCCAATGCAAGAGCAACTCGAAGATCCGGTTCTTCCCATCCGACTAGATGATGATTATGACGAGACACTTGCACTTTCTAACATAGACGACGAGTTACTTGATGATTCGTCACACGTACAAGACGATATAGACGAATTCGTTTCGGACCATGATACAACTCCTGATGATGAAAGTGATGAAGATTCTATGTAGACTTATTTTTTTTATTGTTTTCATATGTATTTGTATTTTGAAAAATCTATTATATTTATTTGTATTTTTGAGATTTTTAATTTTTTTTTAAAAAAAAATATTAAATTCCAACGGACATCCGTTGGAATCGAATCGCAGAATTCGAATGATCACATGTATTCCAACGGGCGTCCGTTGGAATCGAAGTGCAACAATCGAATCGACACCAGAATTACAACGGGTGTCCGTTGAAAATTTCCAACGGACACCCGTTTGTAATGGTTGAAACATTGAATCTGTTTGCCTTTTCCAACGGACACCCGCTAGAATCGTCATTTCCAACGGGTATCCGTTGGAAATTCTGAAGCATTAAATCCGTTTGACGCACATGGCATCCATCCGTCATTCCAGAATATTTCCAACGGATGTCCGTTGGAAATGACAATTCTAACGGGTATCCGTTGGAATTTATCAGACAACATTAAATGCGCCCAGAGATTTCCAACGGATATCCGTTGGAAATCCGTTGGAATTTTCGATTATATAAGGGCGATCGGTCCCATTCTTCACCATCACCCATTCTCTCCCAACCTTCCCAAAAAATAAATTCGAAGAAAAAAAAATCTCGACAAAAAAACGCAAAATGGTAATTCGTTTTTAATTCTTTAATATTTATTTATGTTCTATTTTGTATTAATAACTAACTATTGTTTTTTTCCAGTTTCGTAGGCGATTTTATAGTTCCGGAGGATTGTTGGCGGGTTCTTCTGGAGCACTGCCACCGCCACCACCACCACCTTCTCGTCTTCCGGAACCGGTGGACGCACCCCCACTTTTTCCAGAGATTGATATAACTCTGGAGGAGGTAGAGAAAATTTTAAATTCCTTCGAAACTCGCGAGGTCCCGCTAATCGATTCCGAATTTGACGGGGCGTTATGGTAATTTTTAAATTAAATTATTTCAATAATTATTTTAAATTATATTATTAGTTAATATTAATAAATTGTTATTATTAGGTTCGGGATTAACGATAAAGAGTTGAGGAAAAAAATTACAGCAATAATAACGTCCAATTTTCCTCAATTCAACTACTGTTGGACGGTGGTACCAGACAACATCAAACGTTCTTGGTGGCATTCGTTCATCGTAAGTTATATTTTTAAAATTTTATTTAAATAAAATAATTAATCACTAACTCTAATTTTTTTTAAAGCAATCTTTTCGGTGGAAAAAAAGTACACCGATAAAGTTTACAAAAAGTTCAACCAGCTGGGTATGCAGCGGTTGAAACAAATGATGAACAATGTCAAACGTCGTCATCAGCTGCATGGACTGCCACCGGAGTGGGCAACAAATGACTTGTACCAGCAGCTTGTTACGCATTGGAACTCAGACCATTTCAAGAACAAGAGTTCCAAGGCGAAACAAAGTCATCTGGCTCAAAAAATCGAGGGTGATGGCCCTCATCGTCATACTTCCAGTGCTAAATCATTCAAGAAGAGGCAAAAAGAGATGGTGTTTATTTAAACTTTAATTTTTAATTTGTTTTTTAATTTGTAAGCACGGTAACTCAAAGACTTACCCAACTCTCGCAAAATGTTGGCGATTCAGCGGGTTCTTCATCCAGTCTCTCTGCATCGGACCAAGATCGTTGCTATGTGAAGGTAAAAATTATAATAATTCATTTTTAAATATTATATTTTAATACTTTATTTCAATTTTAAATATTTTCTTCATTTTTCAGTCGGTCTCTCCAAATAAGG